AACTAGCTTGGAAGTCAAGTCACTTTCACAGACAAAAGTTCAGACACCTCAGATGACCTGTAACTTGTAAGGACCATAACTTGAGTTCTATAAATCTCCTTGAGGTCTTCCACCACTCAAATTAAAGGTCTTGAGATCCTCTACAAGTTTCATGTTGGCCAAGAAGCCATTTGAAGTTAGCATTTTGACTTATCTTGCTTGGAAATTTGACCTAAACTAGGGGATTTTACAGAGAAACCCTAATTTAGTAACTCCTCTTCTCCTTGATTTTTCTTGAATTCTCCTTGTCATATCTCCATATCCTTCTTTATAGGTTCAATGTTGATCCCCACATCTCTCCAATAGCCTTGAATGCTCTTTTAAATCAGTCAATTGACCTAGGGTTGACCTAGGGTTGACCCAGATGAAACCCTAGTTGACTGTCTTCAACTGTAGCTCTTGTGCCTTCATCAATGACTTGTTTTCTTCTCCAAATGACTTTATAAGTCTCTCAAGATGTCTAGATGCTCTCCATGCCTTCACTCCACAGCTCACAATCCTCTTGTTGGTCCTCAGATACCCTCAGCTAGGAGATAGACTCAAGGCTTGATCTGCTGAACTCTTTGCTTTCAAATTCTTTCCTGATGACTTGAATGAGATTGAATTAGGATAATAACCTCTTGATAGGCCTCTAGAGATGAAAGTAATGATTGGTCCCCTGTTGAATGACTTGCTATGCTTATGCTATGCAGATGGTTAGTCTATGTACATGACTCTACATGCAAATGCTAATGATATTGAAACATAAATCCAAGGAATAAGGTTGAGCAAATTTTAGGGTGCAACACCTAGTAGCAAGCTTTCCATGGCATGCCAACCATATAATGAACAAGGCTCTTGGTCTAGCCAAAGTTTTGTGAAACAGACAACTCCAATCAACTTTATGACCATTATCAATAAGCTGCAAGTAGACCATTTTTGTACTAAACTTCTTAACCATCATGGTCTAACACACCAGGTTATGGACAATCTCCCGCTTCCTCAAAATTACCTTGAGAAACCATGACATATTTTGAGTCAGCTGCACATTTGATGCCAAGCATCCACATTTGATGACAAAATCAAGAACCTTAATGAATATGAGCCTCCACTTAATCACAAAAGCATTAGCATTCCCAATTGACCTTGATAATGAACATTTTGACCCCTACCTTGCAAACTTAAATGAATACAAAAAGAGAGAAACAAACCACATATTTTTCTATTTTGGTTATATGACATGTTAAGTATAAAACCATAATTCACAAAGGCAATAAACACAAGACAACTAGGTGAAAACCTTGGGAAAGCCATCAAGAGAAAAACCCTAATCCTATCTTTCAAGCTAAAACTTATGAACAACCATCCTTGGGAATTAATGATCAAATGGTATGCCAATGAGATAATATGATGAATAAATGGTATGAATGTTAGGGTGAAAATAAGGGTATGACAATACTTTCTGCTCTCACCAAAGACATCCCTCGTCTCCTCAAAATCAACTACACTCAAGATATCATAAGTATCAACTTGCTTCTTCCTCACCTCGGTTGGGGAACCTCACCAGGACCGAACCCTTCCTCAAAGCCAAGTTCTTGGAACCAAGATTGTATTTCCTTCTTCATTGTCACCTCGTCCAGAGAAAGAGAGGCTTACTGGATACAATATTATCCAACATCCTAATTGAAGTTTATCTTAGACTAGTATTTTGGATACGAAATGCGACCATATCAAAAAGGGTTGGCAGGGATATAACAAAAAAACAGAGTGACTTGTAAAGGTAAGGGGTTTTAACAATACAAAACATCCCAAGAAATCACCCAAATCCAGAGTGAAGGGGTCGAACCATGGGATGATCAGATGAAGGTGAAGAAGCCCCTGATTGTGAAAGTTGTACGGGGAAGTAAGTCTTGGATGAAAAAGATTGAAAATTAATCTAAGAGAGGGCTCCTAGGATTTGTACTCGACACATAGTTGAAAGATCCTCACATATGCCTATGACCCCGAATGAAGCTAGGAAGGGGAAATATTTAAATGTTTCAATACGGCTAGCTCAAATTCAAAAAAGGTAGCCGAAGTCATAGTTTTTTAAACAAACACTCATAAAACGGGACCATGCAATCATCAAAAGAGTTGCATATTATCTTCTCCACTAGAATTGGAAGGACCAACTACTCTGAAGGATCGCCAACCTTAATTTCAACATCGCATAGGGTGGCCTCAGTGCTTAGAGCAGAAGAAATTCCTGCTACTTTTGCATCCACCTAGTCATACACCAGTGCATCCGACCGGTTTCGAAGATTTAAGTGCTCTAGCACATCGATGTCGTTGGGTTCATAAATTTCAGTCTGCAGACGAACTTGAATGCAACTCATAACATGCTCCATTCTTTGAAAGTTAGAATGCACCTCCTATCCAACAAGATAGGATAGGGTATAGGGACCTCGATGCAATTTATTCTTCTACCAACATTCATTATAAGGGAGTATAACGACCCAGAAGAAGAAATTTCTTTCTCCAAGAAAGTCTGAAACATCCCTTCTGACCTAGAATCATCAGATATGGATATAATTTTTGATCCTACGTGATCGCTATTAAGGGAAGGATGGGGAGAATCAGGGAATGATCTAAATAAAGATCACTTCATAATCACTCATTAAATCGACAATATTGTCACTCATTCTAACTAAGTAAATATGGAGTGTTGAAATAATAGCTTGAGTTAGAAGGGTACTTAGTTATGGGAGATCAATGAAGTGGGAGAAATGAAAAAGGTGAAATCTTTAAGCAAAGCTCCGATCACTTCTAGTGATACTCTCAGGAAAAAAGGAATGAAATTTTTTTTTTGGAAAGTAACTATAAGCTTAAAAGCTAAAAGGTTGTGAAATTTTCCAAATATTTAATTCACTCTATTTATAAGCAATGGAATTTGAAGGATCAAGACAAACTATGAGCAAAAAACACAAGATTGACGACCAGATTTTCGCTCATGGATACCCTCCAACTCGAGTGCACTCAGGTACCCTTTAAACTAAGCCAAACCCCAACTGGTCATGTCACCACACATGTCAGGAATGAATAGTAAAGTATTTAATTGATGTGACTACATTAAATGCGTATGTTCCCCATTACTTCTTCAGGAAAATGATCCCAAGAGATTATGTTCAGTTCCAGACCAGATTACGACATGGAGGCTGGTTAATTATACTTAAGGCTTCCATCGGCTTCTTCAGTGCCCGACAAAGCCTTGAGGGCAATTGCTCTAGACCGGCCAAAAGGCCCAATTGACCAAGGCCCAATCCATCTCAAGCCCACTCTACTCGACCTAATATATAAAAACAGTTCACATGCTATGAGAAGGTACACAATCTTTGATCTCCAATTTCACTATACTCATCTTGAATCTTAAGCTGACTTGGACGTTGGATTTCTAACTATGCAAGTCCACCCCACGCCACCATAAAGGACATCGGAGCCACCATTCACGATCAACAGTTAACTAACACTCTTCATTTCATATTCCTTCATAGAGGTAGAACACTCATTTATAGTTCCCATACAGAGCAATCTCCATGTGAGGAGGTTTAAAATTTCAAAAAATAACGTCCTTCTATATTTATTTATAAAATGTATAAGGGTCGTCCAATTCTTGGTTAGAATTGTCCTCTACAACCCTTTATTGTTTGATTGCTTGGATCTATGTGTTCATTTTATTGTTGCAATTCTTCTATGGCGTCATCAATTACTTGGAGAGCCTCATTATCCTCAGATGAGTGATTAAGTCACCATTTTGATATGATGTAGGAAATATGGTCGATGAGTTGTCTTTACCGTATCACCAAAATGGCATGATATGTTTTTGCTAAGTATATGATGATCCTTGTTAGCAATGTACTATGATTAAAGCCTTATAGTGTATATAGGGAGGAAGAACTCCCACATTCATTTTGTATTGTGGCCTTGATGATGACACTTGTCTCGGGTAACCACTATTTGTTCCTCTTCAAGTTTTAGTCATGCTATGGTGTTGTATACCCGAGTAAGACTTTGTTATAATCACGCCTTAAAGTTATTTGAATAAGAATGACCTCACGTGCCTCGTTGTGTGGGAGTGTTCTTACTTTGTTATTGAGAATTTTTAGTATATGGTGGTCTAGAGGCCTTGTGCGGTAGATATGAGAAGCTCACAAGAGTTCACTCCACAAAAATAAATTTTTTAAGGGAGAGTGTCTTAAGTATATGTGTAAAGGCCTTTGTAACCCTAAGATTGTGTTTTGATTTGATGGAACATAATAGAGCATAATGGAACAAAGTGGAATGAAACAAAGCGAAATAGAATATAAATCTCACTCCATTATTTAAATATTTTATTTTAAAAAATTCAATCTATTGCATACATCAAAGATCAAATGAAACAAAAAAAATAAAAGATGATTTGATGAAATAAATTTCATCATGCACCTAAATGTCTACATAAATAGCACTTTGAACCCTTGAAATATTTTATTTACGCCATTAAATTATTTGATCTTGAACTTATTTATTTTTGCATTCTATTTCATTCATTATTTTTTAATATAAATAATAAAATTTTATTATTTACCACTCTATTTCATTTCATCTCATATCACCTATTTAAATATATTTTAAAATTTTATTTAGGAGTTTGACGGAAAGAAGAAGAAAAGAAAAGACTTCCCGAAATAACTTTTTCAAAATATAAGAAAATATAAGAAAAAATAATTTGGAGTTTGGAAGAGAGTCGGAATAATTTTGTTATCATGAACAAAAAAAATGAAAATCGCACCACCACATATACACATTCTCAAATGAAAAATCTAAATAATATCTCTCTCTCGAATTCTTACGGAGAGACTATTATTAATCCAACAGAAACAAACACGACACTATCTAAAAGTAACCAACTACACCTAATAAAATAAAATGTTATTTCTACTTTATCTTTTTCTTCTCATAAATCATCATTCAGATACAAAATCCAACATACAGCTGGACCTGTACCATGATGATTCATCAGTGATGCAACTACCAACAAACGTTAAACCACCGTCCCATCTTTTCACCACGTTGCCATTAAACCCAATCAAATCTTGACACGTGTACCACCCATTCTCATTCTCTCCGTTTCTCAACCTCAACACCTTCTCCCATCGTTTCCACCACTCCGTCTCATCTTCCGGTCCCCACCCTCCCGCAACCGGCAACAACAGCCCGTAACTACAATCACCGCTACTCTCTCCGCCACCGCATTGCGTGTCTTCCTCGTAATACACCGTATACTTCCCCTTCCTCACACCATCAACACCATCATCATCATTCCAAACCTCGTTTAATGTTTTCATCGGTTTCTCAGCTTCCGACATCAACGGTTCAACTTCCGGGTCCGAATTGACTGAAACCGGGTCTTGTAATTTAGGACAACCCGATGAGCGAATTTTCCAGAAGCTGAGAGCGGCGGTTAGGAGAGCTAGCCAGGTCCATAAATTGTTGAGAACTGTGACTAAACCGAAGTTTAAGTAGTTGAAAGCTAAAGCCTCAACATTGGAATCTAACAAGATGTTCATTGTTTTGTGTTTTGGTTTGAGGTTTGTGTTTGAGAGAAAAATGAATGAATTGAAGAATAAGAGATAGGGATTGAGGGTGGTGAAGATATAAAGAGTGGGTGTGTGTGGGATCTTGATAAGATGCCTAGAATCGATGACCAAGATGCGTATTTTCTAGGTATATTATCTTTGTTGACACATATATAATACTATATAATATACTCCTAATATATTCTCACCACAATAAATATGAATGCAACAATAAATATAAGTAATATTTATCTCTTTTACTTATATAATTGTTTTAATAGATCTAAATTGATCAATTAAATTACTTATTTTGAGATAAATAGAATAATTAATAATATGAATTATTGATTAATTAAAAAATATATTGTTTTTAATATTAAGAAATGTTCATTTTAAAATTATATAAATAAAGGAACAAGTACGATGAATTTAATTCAAATTTAAATTTTATACATATACTTTCTTTATTCCATTTTTGGAGTATATATTGATTCCATTCCATATTAATAGATTACAGTGAGTAGTATACTTATCAAAAAATGTATCAGAAAGAATTAAGGGCGTCCCAGAGTGGCTGTTGAATGGCTATAAATTTTTATGGTTATACTTTGATTAAATTGAGTTATATTATAATTAAATAAGATTTTTTTAAATATTATCACGGTTAAGTTGTAATTAATAAATTTTTTATTTTTGTCATGATTATATTATGATTAAATTTTAAAATATTTAAGACGATTTCAATATATATATATATATATATATATATATATATATATATATATATATATATATATATATATATATATATATATATATATATATATATATATATATATATATATATATATATATATATATATATATAATATTTTTATATTTTCATTTTCATATTTATATGTGTGTATCTCTATTATAACCACTTCCTTTGTATCATGATAAAATATATATAATATTTTTATATTTTCATTTTCATATTAATATGTGTGTATCTCTATTATAACCACTTCCTTTGTATCATGATAAAATGAGTTTACAATCTTTTTATTAATGGTTCTTGAGGAAGTAACTATGTGATATGAGATAAATAAATGTATATTATAAAATGAAAGTAATTTAAAATAAATGAATATTTCAAATAGAGACATATTATATGAGATAGATGGAATATTTTTTTAAAAAAAGAGTGATGCATTGATAGTGTAATTTTTTTTTACACTGTTAATTAATGACGATCATGAATTCCGTCAAGTCATATTCAAAATTTTAAAATTATTATATGACATGACAGAATGATATATTTCTATTCGATAACAATGTTAAATATTTTTACACTATTAATGCATAACAATTAAATTTATATTTTTACTATTATATACTTTTAATTAATTGTTACTTGTGAGCTTGTATGTTTGGTTGGAGTGATAAATAGTTATCTCTAATGATTTTAAGGTTTTCTGTTTTTGTTTTTTTTCTTCTTTATGAGACATGATTAAGTAACTGGTGGTTATCTTTTGATTTGTCAAATTATAGTTAAATCTATTTGAAAAATCTGATATGATGTTGGTGAGAAAAGTATATTTTGTATGAAAATGGTTTCATGGTAGATCAGGGTGAACTCTTACATGATTTTAGAATCCTATAATTTACATGTACTTATAGCCGATCGAGTGTATTAGAGTTTGAGCTAACTCATCATTACAAAACCAATTTGTAAGGAGAGAGATGTCACTCTATATAAATTCTTTCAAAGTTATATATCAATGTGAGATTTGAGATTTTTCCGATACACCTTCCCACACCCAACACTCTTTTAAGTTTGGTACGTGCCACTACAACAAATAATGTTTTTCATGACAAAACTTTCACCACGAGAAATAGAAAATCGAGGTATAAAACCAAGGCACGCTATTTTTTATTATTTAAAAAAAACCATAAATTAAAACTGAGGTGAAAAAATAACTCAGTACAAGCTTCGATTCCCAGCTATCGCAGTTTATAATTTTATTTGTTTATAAATGTAAACAAAATGTTCTAACCCTTTGATTTTCTATTTAACCATGTCATATCTCATATTTCCTTAAATGCTCAATTGAGTGTCAATTGAGACCAATTGATTTCCTATGTACTCTATCTTTATCAGTTGAAACAATTAGAGCTCATAAATACTCTTAATGTTATCAGTTGGGACTATTAGAGTAATAAGTAAAATCTGAAGAGATTAATGATTATCAAAAGAAAAGGATCATTATTAATAAGTGCAATAAAGAAAATTGTGGTAACATTAATAATTGATCAATTAGTAAATATGAATTGAGATATTTTGTATTACTACCTAATATTATAATATATATTTATATATTGATTATATGTTATATATATTTATGTGGTGTAGAAAGAAAGAAGAAAAATAAAGATTAAGAAGAAAAGGAGAAAGAGAGAGGGAAGAAAAGAAGAGAAGAAGAGAAGGAGAGGAAGAAGGGAGGAAGAGGAGGCAACTATAGAAGAACTATTATCATCATCAACAACTTCATTTCATCATTTTCATGTCATCTTCTACATCATCTTCATCATTAATCTAAGGCGAGTTCAACTTAGAACTTTAGTATTTTAGGAATTAGGATTTTGAGTATTAAACCATGAAATTATTGTTGTTCTTGTTTCTCTATTGTTATTGTTCTTACTACTATGATGAAGTTTCTTCTATGTGGTTGTTGGTTTTTCTTGGTGTTGTGATATATTGAATTCATGGTATAAAATGTTTGAATATGTTATATTATGATTAGATATAATTTGGAATGACTTAGAATGGTCATGAGTGGAAGAAAGTGCGAAAATGGGTTATGGTCTGAGTGGTAACCAGTTACCCAACTGAGTGTAACTGGTTACCACTGACTGAGTAAGAAAATGCTGAATTAAAATCGTCGTAATTTAAGTTTCGTAACTCCGTTTGACGCACGGTCGAATGCGTTGAAAATTTATTTCAATGATCTGTTAGATGGTGAAGTAAAAGAATAATTTTATGTCAATGATTGATAGGATAGTAATTATAAACTATTATGTATGCTATGGACTATTATGGATTGTTGATTGAATATTATGGTTCTTGTTTCCACCATAATTCAAGAACCGTGAATCTGATTGCTATGAGACTTGAAGTTTTGGAAAGATAATCCAATGGAATATTTCATGGTGATGAGGGACCATGAATTAACCAATAATGCTTGGTAGGGTTTTGTAATGGTTACATACTTTATGTGAACTACTTATGTCTGATTTATTTTTGAATTGTTTGTGCCTTATATAAGTTATGAACTATATCATGATGCATGCTTTATATTATGCATTGTTGTTGTGTGGTTGTTCAATAACATGATTAAAAGTCTATGATGATGAGTGAGGAAACCTAGGGTTATAACTAGGTAAATAAACTAGAAATATAACTTAGGTTATGAAATTGACTTAGATGTGATGCTTGGACGCAAGGGTACCTTGTGTGTGCCGTAGACAAGTAGTCGCTAGAATTATAGTTCAGTCATTAAATAATATGCTTTGTTTGGAACTATTGAAAGTGTTTTAAGTGGATATTTGTTTTATCGTCTCCACAAGGATTGGTGCGATATTACCGCCGTTCTTCAGTTTACTTTGTCTTAAGTGAGGGTTTCAGATGTTTTTTGTTTGGTAAAAGTAACATTCACAAGGGTTTGTAACAATGGTTAAAAGATTCAAAAGATTTAACGGTTAAAATGGCATATCAAGACTAGATTTCATCAACCTATTTTCATATGTATCCTATTAATCTATCACGTGAACTTGTTAATAATCAACATAACCACGTATCACTCATCTATACCATTCATGTCTGATACGGTATTGTGATTTTTACCGTATTTCTTAATCGATGATCTCTCACTCTATTAAACAATACAATAATCTTAAGCTTTGATACAAGTGAGTATCAACTTCAAATCTATGTCTAGAATTTGGTTATTGATATATGATAAACTTAGATCAAGACTTAAAAGATGTTTCTCAACTATGATTCAAATCATAAATATAAAATAAAAGCAAAAGTTATCATCTACATTGATCATTAATTTGTTCACATACAAAAGATTAAAAGAAATACATAAAAGTTAAGATTGATTACATCCAATCTTGATACAAGAGGTTTAGCTACCCATAACCATGGTATCTTGCTTCACAAGAAATAAAGAGAGATGAATGAACACCTAAGTTGAATAATTGACAAAGGATGTGAATCCAACTCCAATTAAATAAATGTAATTTCTCTTGCTCAAATATGATTTTTCTAGGGATTTTGTGTGAATGAAATGTGAGATGATCCAACAATAGGGCAAAAATGAACAAAATATCCCTTAAATATGTTTTCCAATCTTTCACGTCTCGCCCAGCGAGCTAGGGCTCACCCGGGGAAGTCCACTTTTAGGCACTTCTAACTGCCTGCTGATCATCAAATCGCCCTTGGGAAAATATCTCATCTTGCCCAGCGAACCATGTCTCGCCCGACAAACTCAAGTTTTCCAGACCTTGTCGGGCGACCATGACCTTGTTTTGCTTCTACCTCAACAGTTTTTTTCCTCGCTTCTTGTTCGCCAAAGCTCTCCAGGCGAGCTCTCTTTCTGCTCGCCAACCTACACTGGACGAGGATGCTGGTTTTTGGCATCTTTGGTTTGACTCCATTTTCTAGGTTTTGTGTCTCTTTTCTTTGATTTCTTGACATAAATCCTGTATACTAGAACACACATAAAGGATACCAAAACCACATGCAAGTTTTATGACATTTAATGCAAGATTATGGAATTAAACATTCGGGAACACAAAATTATATTGAAAAATGCCAAGAAAAATAGTGAATATTTAGTCAAGATTGGAATTCAACAAACTCTCTCCAACTTAAATATTTGTTTGTCCTTAATCAAAGTACTTTTCTCATTAAAAACAAGAAGATTTTTCTCCTACTACAAATT